TTACAGCAAATTTCATAAATGAAATACAACTTTTGATTGAATTCATTTTTTACGAGCTACCGCTGTCTAACGGTTTAGAAAGATTACGTAAAGTGTTAAAATCATTAAAATAAATTAAATATAAATATTATGTAATATTCAATATATCCCACCTCTAATGTTATTTAAACGGCCTTGTTTGCTCTGCTCCAAATTTGTATTGTTTCAATGGATTTTTGTGATTCATTACTGTTTGTTATCTTCATATTACATATAAGAGGTGTTCGATAGTCCTGTTCTAATTGATATCTATTGATAAAGGTGAACTTATTAAAATTCAATCTCTGTAATGCAGTCAGCAGTAAAAATAGATATTACATGATTTATCAGTCATGAATGATATCATTTTGATTTCATTACGGAAGATGTTTTATTAAGCAAATATAATATAACGTTTTAAAAAGACTTTGAAAGTTAAATTGCTTTTCCCTCTCTACTCAGCATTGTTAAATATCGACCGTTGTTCAATGATTAAATAGGCATACATTTATTTTCAAGGTTCCTTTTTAAATATTGAACAAGAAAATAACTATGTTGCGTAAGGTATTTTATTTTTTTCTTCATAGTTAAATAAGCAAAAATAGGTCTTTGCACTCATTAGAGCAGTTAAGAAGGATAAAAGTCAAAATATATTCGGGTCATAAAACATACAGAGTATTTTCAATTTTCAGTTAGCTTTTAATCGTAGTTTTCATTGATTTCTCCAAAGATGTTTGAACATGGTTGAATCTACACAAATGACAAAAAAGGTATCCAGTACACCAAACATCTATAAACAAGACAACCCTACTTTGACTATCATGTTTCCCACCAGACGTTTGTCCATTTTTACTACGTAATTCTTTATTTACCTGAACAATACAGAGAGCTCACAGCGGTTGTGACCATTCGAAAGGAGATGTTCACTCTTCCCACCTTTGGATTTTTCGGAGCTCTGTCTTTTTGCCTTGTTTACAATTCGTATTCTTTATTCAATCCACGGTTCATTACTTTCATTTCTTACATTATAAAACTACTTTTGTTATCTAAGCATACTTTTTCAAATTAACCGTCTTAATAATAATCATGTATTTTATTTTCCTTTTATGGATGTAATTCATAGGCAGCTCTGCTCAATAATTTTTTTTGTCAGTGACATATAGGCAGTGTTAAAATTTGAGTTTATCTTTTTGTTTTGTTTTGTTTCGTTTTGTTTTTTTTGTAAACTAAAGCACAGGCACTTGGGGTATGGACCCCCCCCCCCCCTTTCGCTGGGACGGAAGTGCAATAACGGTAACTCTAACTTTATAAATGTTCTGCATTATATAAAAATTCCAAGCTATGTAATCAAAAAATATTGAGAAATTTGATTGTCTAGGTCGTATGTTAAATGTTTATCTTCATCCATTAGAATCTGCTAGTTAGAGTTATCTTGTTATACACAGAACTTAACCGTTACATGTAATATGAAGAGAACATTCGGGATTTTTCCCTCTTGCATTTAATGTTCCAAATGACATTACACTTAATGATGACTCCCGAAAATACCGGACACTTCCGTCCCAGCGAGTGCACATCAACAAAATTTACCCTAGATGCGGTTGATTTAATCGAAATATTTACAAATCTGGGGCACATAAAAATTACATGAAAATATGAAAAGGAAGAAGAATATGTAACAAATTTCTTGATGAATGCATATCCCATGTGTTCTTATGCTTTAGATAAATAATCAGGCGAAGTTTAAGCGAGGTGAGGCAGACGACGAGAAAAGAGTTGCAAGCCTTCTCTCTTTTTATGTATCAGTCGAAAACGGTATATTTAAAAACAGCACATAGAGACAAAAGAGTTACATTATTGATAATATAAAGTGCATATTAGAATATAAAAATAGGAAAAAGGTGACTCGACCCCAGATTTAAAAAGGAAAAAAAATGGAAAGGGGGGGTCCATACCCCAAGTGCCTGTGAACTAAAGAGAGAAAGAGTAAAACTAAACAAACGAGTACTTGACTGAAATTAAAAAAAAAAAAATGTAGCTTTTACTCACCCTATTCATTTTAATCCAAATAAACAAGTTTTTATAGCGAATATATTAACAGTAGATGTTTACTTGTTGTCAGGTAGTAAAAATTACCATTTTTAAAAAAGGCGTTAAAATACTGTCAACGTGTTTCATTTTCGTTTTGAATTCTCTGAAATATGCATGAACTTGGTTGGTTGACAGCCAAGATATAGTAAATGCGTCACATCTTATCAATATCATATCCCGTTTTATTAAAAAAATTTATTAAATTCAATATTATTATGCCGCACTAATTAAAACGACATCGTTGGTCAAATCATTTAATTTTGTCGGAGGACAAAGGATTTTCGTTAAAGAGACTGGGGGGTTGTGGCCATTTTTAGACTATATTGATCTCCTTTAGAAGAAAAGCTCCATATGAAGATATAGAAAATGATCAAATTTTAAAACTATAATTTTTGAAATTTTTCTTTGCCAATTGATAGTTGACAGCTTAAGATATCATATCTAGAAAATTAAGTTAAATCTGGTGGTTAATTTGTGGTTAATTTGTTGACCCCCCAGCCTCCTTAATACCTTGGCATACCAAACAACTTTTAAATATTTTTAATATCCCCAACAACAAATTGAATTTGAATTACTATACCTATACTAGATTTTTAGCATTAGCCAAAGTTTTTACAAAGAAAGATACATCGCGAGTTTTAGTATATCTTTTAAAAAACTCTTTCTTTACGCCTCACGGAAATATTCACAGCAGTGAAGGTGAAAATTTCCGGAGAACTGTTCAAGGAGACACTCGAGAGTTGGTATTAATCAAATGTGGATCTTTAAAAACTCCAAGGAACTTCGATATTACAAAAGTTTACCAAAACCACTAGCATAAAAACGTACGACTATTCAACACTTTTTTTCAATCATTCCCCATGACTGATTAAGGACCCGGCTTTTTGACATCATAGACAATGTTTCTTAAAAAAATAGAACTCGTATTTGTATACTTTGTCATTGGCTATCGGCAAACTAATTGTGTTTAAAAAACTTTCTGATTCTACACCTTCATAAACAGACCTGTTTTTGCATTCATATAAAGCAAAATTTATTTAAAAACTTTTATATGGTAAAAAGAAGTCTCTTGCAGTGGCTTTCAATCTGACATTTAGATATATGGAGGACTTTTTTTTTTATCAATAATAATATTGATTTTCATTCCGACATTGATTCGATATATTCCAATGAACTCGAAATAAAAAAACACCACAGAGTCTAACACATCTGTTTCATATTTAGATGTTTTACTAGAGAAAGACACTGATGACAAACTAACAACTATTTTATAAGTAACGTGATGACTTCAACTTTTCTATCGTCAACTTCCCTAATAAACCATTTTCACCTGAATATGGAGTTTATGTCCCCAAGATGATTCAAACGCAAGAGCATGTTCTAAGTACGAACAAATTTTAAATTGAGGCAGGCTATTGAACAAAATAAATTGATGATACAAGTCAACATCACCCAAATTATATGGTCGATACAATGACTTTGTTTGCAAATACAATCTGTTGTTGAGTGGAATGGAACGTTTTTCTAAAAAAAAAAAAAAAAAAATTGGCACACGGCAGGAGTGACCGGTCGAAAGGGAATGCTTACTCCTCCAAAGCACTTGAACATGGTCCAGATATGAACAATTTCTTAAACGAGGCAAGCTATTGACAAATTAAGTTGATGATACAAGAAAATCAATTCTCTCGTTTAAAGTTTACATTTCCTAAATTCTATGATCGATACAATGACATGTCAGCAAATACGAATGTTGTCTAACGTTTTTAATAAAAATTGTTAAACCATTATTTTCTCACTGAATTGTCTACGGATTTTTCCGTTTGCCTGATTATGGTAGGTCATTCAGGAATTTATTTATAGAAATCACGCATTCTGGATAACCAGTCTCGATTGCGTTACCAGCTTATACTTAGAAATCGAGAATTGAAAAAGCGAAGCAAGTCTTCTATATCAAATCATTGATCTGTTTCTTTTCAGAAATTGTTAATTTTGATATACATAGTCATATAAATTCCACAACCTAATATTACCTGTGGTCTTTAGTGGATTCGGTCACTGGATTTTGATTACAATTTTAACACTTTGGCATCCTGTAACTTATTTGGAAAGAATATTTTCTTTGTTCAGACTATTTGTGGATTTGGATTTAACAACTTGGCTATTCAAATCTCATCATTATTTTATGAATTCAACATAATGAAAGGTTACCTTGATGTTTAACTTATCGGCAAACTCATTTTTTTCGAGTCTCAATGGTCAAATTTCAAACTTCATTTCATTTCGAGTCTCAATGGTCAAATTTCAAACTTCATTAAATTTCTGTTAACCTTTTTAAAAATTATTAATTTTGTCATTAAAAAGCATTCAAAAGTCTGTTTGTGTGTTTTTTAAACGAATTTATTCAACAAAATGAAATGTGTAAGGTTTAAGTGACATAAATATAAACAAATCTTTGAAACGTTGATTGCAATTCCATATGCATAAATTGAATAAAAAACATAAGTAAAAACAAATAGAAAACATATATCATAGTTGTGTGTAGGTTAATAAAAAACATTAAAACGATATAAAACAGAAAGTAAAATAAAATCTCTATGGTTTATCACATGATGTAAAGATCAGATTATGGAAGAAAAACGACAAGGAAACAAATTACAGGATTCATAAAAAATTAAAATCATTAATAATAAAAGTTGCATTATTAGTGTTAACAAATTAAAAAAAAAACATAAGCCAAGATTCAATTGTATACAAAAGAAACAATACAAATCTAATTCCTACTTTTAGACATTTATTTTTTTTTTAAACAAATCTATGAATTATTTATGATGTAACTACATACGACATGTACATTTTAAACTTTGTTGACAAAAAAAAACAAAACAAACAATTTTACTCATAACATTTCCATTTCTAAGCATTGAATTCTTCCTGTGTGGCCTCTCTGACTTTTCTGCTTTTCTTCTGGCGTTTGGACTTAACAGATTCCGCATCCACGACACAGCCCTGTCGACTGTAGTGTGTTAATAAGTCGCGCCAAACATTGTCGCATTTCATTAGATTCTTGTTTCCTGTATAAACAATATCGAGACTAAGTATTGAAACACAAAATATTAAAATATTGTGTATTCATTATTACCTTATTATTATGAGGATCCATTTATGAGCCTTGACAAAAAAAAATCGCTTGGTTTATAGGTATGAACTTATACATTATAGTTTTAGTCAACACGCCTAAAATCTTTTATTTCTATATACATTTTTCTTTGGACTTGCTCTGGTATGAATATTTTCCTTATTGAAAAATTTATTCCTCGGACAAAAAATAAATGTTTTGAATCGTAAGGTGGTCTGCAACCACTGTCTTTCCTTTACATTCGTTATGAAGCCATTTTCAAAAAACTTAACAAAGAACCTTGTCATACAAATTCACTATACAACAAATCAACAAAAAATTCTTAAGACATCAACACATTAAACTAATCGAACTATTTGCAAAAATAGTTGTTAAAGGTGACATTCGTCAACTTTATCTTTCTATCTTGATGTGCAGATATACGTGTACGATCTAATTGGAAACATAAAAAGTTTCTGAAGATATAAATTTCTAAAGGGTTATCTATGTGCTAGTTTTATAGGTTTCTGACATCAAACAGAAAGACAAGATATAACAGATTATGTGAAACCATGAACTGCAGTAAAATTTTTATCATTGATATAAAAAATCCTCTTCACCAGTAACTACAGTAAACTATGTAATTACTTTTCTAAATACAATAGATTTCTAAACTTTGAAAGTTGAGAATTCTTTTGTTTTAACAAACATGTCCAAACTTTGGGTGTCTATATTTTTGCACAATGATAAAATATTTACAAAAATAGCAACTGTTTTTTTTTAAATAGTATGTTTTCTCTCAATATATATCTTATTGTAAAGTATTACATATTATACAATAACGTCATAATTGTTTATTGAAAGTATTAATTACATCAGTCAGTTTTTTATGTATGATAAAAGATATCACAATATCGATATTGTTAAATAATTTTATGCAAAAGTCTTTTAATTAATTTAATTTTATTCAAATTCTATTGAATAGAATTTTGCAAAACAGTAATCAGATGAGAAGTTTCTTTCTAGGAAACAGAATTTTTTATCTGTGTTCAAATTTTAGCAATATGGGACTTCCGAGGCAAAACAAAGTTGGTGACTGAGAATTAAACGTACAGCCATTTGGAAAACATTATCAAATGACATTAAATTAAAAAGAAATGCCTCTAAAGTCCATGTTTTTAAAAGGTCTTACCAAAAAAAAAAAGATCAACCTTGCATACTTATATTCTTTATTTTTTTTTTTTTTTTGCTAAATTGACTTCCTTTAACACTTCTTACCTTTTCAGGGAAATCCCAAAGTCTGAACATATTTGCTAAAACACCCTGCATTTGGAACAGTATTCGAAATCATTTACTTCTTACCTATGATAAAGAGACCTTTCCTTGCCCTAGTAAGAGCCACGTTGATTTGATGTTGGTCAGTAATAAAGCCCAGGTTCTGCTTGCACCAGCCTAAAGTAGGATTGGGTTCTATTCTGTAGTCTGGGAGTGATCTCACGGTACTGAATATCACATAATCCCACTCTCCTCCTAAAAATAAAATTAATCATATACATTTGACTCTGTACATTATTTATTCAGAAATAACGTCATATACAGTACTTTCATGAATGTAGAAATGTCTGTTTATATCTTTATCAAGATATCACTAAGTTTGGTGAGGTGAGAGAACTTTTAAATAAGTGTTTGCATGTTTATCACCCAAACATGCATCATTAACAATTGTAAAGTTCAAGCTAAGATAATAAGCATGCCTTTTGGACAATAATCATAGAAAGATCTATGAACATAGACAATTGCAACACCACTAAAAAAGCTTATGACAAATCTGTATATACCTTGACTTGCCACTACAGTGTTGACGTTGAAATTAATGAATTTTTCTTTTTTCAATGCCTCTTTAATGGCAAAGCACTGGGCGTTGTACTGAGAAACAATGTTGATTTGGAATTGATTTACTTTCTCACGCTGAACCAGTTCACTAAAGATTCGAACCTACAAAGAGTAAAAGGTAAAACATTGTTTAAGCAGCTAGTAATTAATATTTAATATTTACATAGCAGTCTTGCTCTTAAATTCATTGAAAAACAATTAATCAAACATTCACGAGATATATGAAAACGATAACATCGGGGCAAAAAGGATCAGAATATTTTATTCAGGCGATTTTAAAGTCCTCGACCATTTCAGTTGAATAATAAATTAAAATCTTGGTTCAGAATAATTTGAATGACGTTTGCTTTATTCGTATTATCAATTTTTACTAGATATACTTGAAGTTTTGTGTTTCTTGAAAAGAACATACTGAATAGATGCTTTGAAATTCACATTTTTATGTTATTTTTTGGGACTCATACATTTCTCCTCAATCAAAGGTATGTTTATATTTAGGTATTATTTATATTAAATATAAAAGAATCATAAGCTATAAACATTCACAAAAAATGAAAGAAAACTACAAAGCCATTTTATATACAGTCTTGAACTTCTCCAACTGTATTGACTATTCGACCATGATACATTCTCCATATGCCGGAGAAACGTTGTCGTCTGCAATCGAGCCAAGTACGAGTTTCTATTAATTGCACAACTATATCCCGGACTTTGTACTTTGATAATCAGCTTGACTAAATGACCAAAATTCAGGACCATGACAAAACCTGTACTTATAAACAACCTTTGAGCCAAGTATGAACTTCAATTTTTTATCCTCTTTCAAAGGCTGGTTGACGACAAGTGCGAGAGAAAGAAAGTAGCACATCATGATTCTTATTTTATACCTCTTTTTTGAAAACAGTGTAAATGGTGGTTTAAAATACTTCTTACCACTTCTTTCACTTCCGCCTTGTTGCTTTTTGACTGCTGATTTCCTTCCTCGGTTGTAACGCTTAAGCTCTCCTCTTCACCTTCAACATGGCAAAACATGTGTGGCACGTTTGGTACACGCCAGAGGGATAAGGGTTTCTCTACCTTCCATGCAGTCGAAGGCATTGTTTCCAAATTTCCTTTGTAAAACTTGTCTGAAGGGAAATCGCATATTCTTGGGTGCTGAAAAACATTACAATCTATCGTGCTTATATTTACATCAAAATTAGTTTCCATATGTAAAATGAATTAATAATTTCTTAAAAACCACTTTCTCTGATTGGGAAACTATACACGTTAATTTATTTGAATCACCTACCATTCTGTATTGACAGTTTAGGAACACAGCACGATCTGCATATCTCTCAAATAACGATTTCTCCAATCCAAGCGAGGCTGCTTCTGAGCAAAGAACGACTGGCTGAAGCTGTTTGTGATCACCAATCAGTACAACCTGTTCTGCTTTGTTGGTGATGATTGGTGCAAGGGTTTCCGGTTCAGTGCACATGCCAGCTTCATCTATGATCATCTGATAAACATTCCCTTGTGTTGCCTTCGAAAATCTCGCATTTGTTGCGACAGCAGTTGTACAAAAAATGACGTCATAGTGTTTCAATTCCTCCTGGCAAGCTTTGTTTAGCAGCTTTCTATAATTCTGTATTTCGCCTTGATCAGAAAAGCTTGGGTTATTTTTGAACATGTTGTCATAGTTTCTTAATTCTTCAGCATGTGGTTTTCCTTGCATTCGAATGAGATGGTGTAAGGAAATATCTTCTAATTGCGGATCTGGTCTGTTGTCTTTGCACGAAGTTTTACTTGTGTAATCTCTTCCAGGCATTGGAAAAACAATGTTTTCCAATGAACTGCCATACATGCGCACAATTTTGGGGGTATATTCACCTAACTTCTTGAGCATCCATCCTTGAAAAGAGAAAAATTCTTCAAATGTGTAACCATTATATATATATATATATATATATATATATATATATATATATATATATATATATATATATATATATATATATATATATATATTAGGGATGTCAAATCGGTCAATATTTGATAATCGGTTACTCGGACGATTTTCCGATCGAGTACCCGGGTACTCGGAAAATGTGTGTATACATGTAAAAGTTTGTTGATTTACTGTATACCCCATCGATGTTTTCTTTCGTTTTTAATGCATGTACATTTCAATTCTTTATTTTCCTTATGCCATATGGCACATCATATAGTATGACATGAAATATACACAATGAAAAGTTATATATAATAATTTCAGTAGACTTGCTACATTATATATTATACATATATAGACCCACATATATAAAACTATTCGATTCTTTCAGTGTTATATACATTAAATATGTACATACATATTATATGCTACAAACAATTTAGTAGTTCTAATCTTCGAGACCAACGAAAATGATTTTTGGTACTTAATTTATGTATCAAACAAACACAAAAGACATGACCAATGACTACAAAATTAATGATTAAGTTTACAGTTCTTGTTTAGGAAAACATTTTGATCAACGGAAAGAAGGATCAACTTAGTAATGATTAGACTAGCGAAAAAGAATATCGTTGGCGTGATCGAGTATCGTATATTATTGACATTTCCAAATTTTATTTTTTTTTTTTGTGAAATCTCTGAAAATTAAATATGACGATTTCTTCTTCCCAAAAAACTAGACAGTGATTCCTTAAATATATCGTTGTTTCCCCACCCTTAATTTACTACGCACAGCTGACTTTTAACATTTTTTTTAATCTTCGGTTATTTTTAAACATTTCTCCACTTTTGAATTGGTAGCAGTATTTCTAAGTATGTCCGATTTCGCTACAGTATGCTAATTAAATTGAAACATTAACATCAAATAATTGAAGCCATCCAAAAATTAAGGTCACAAGAGTTGAAGACAGCTGTGTACAGTGTCAAGTGATTGGTCACGGTAATTACTGTGTATACATGTACACAGCCACAAGCGATAACAGCTGTGTACAGTGTCAAGTGATTGGTCACGGTAATAACTGTGTATACATGTACACAGCCACAAGCGATAACGGGTATTAACTGGTGGAGGTGACGCTCATTACTGTATAGACATGGACAGTGCATATTTAAATAAAAGTTTTTTAATAAATATTTGCACTTGAAATACGAAAAAATATACATCCGAGTAACCGAGTACCGATTTTAGTATTCGATACTCGGACGTTCGATCGAGTACCCGGTTAACCGGGTACTCGTTGACATCCCATATATAATTAATATTAGTGATTAATATATATATATATATATATATATATATATATATATATATATATATATATATATATATATATATATATATATATATAAATATTTTTTGTAAAGGAAATTTACAGAAAATAAAATACACTAAAATCCTTACTGGCAACTAAATCTACAGATTTGTTTGATGGACCACAGAAGACAACTTGCTTGTGGCCTCCTCCTTCCTGTTGAAGTATATCATTGATTTTCACGAACAAGTATACCAGCTTTATACCGGTATAAGTTTTCCCCGTGCCTGAAAAAAGATAAACATTGAACTTTTATCTGATTCATGATACTGACAAAATGAAAAATACTAGTACTTTGAGATATGAACCACAAACCTGGTGGACCTTGAATTAGACTGAAACGAGAACTCAGCGCACGTTGTATCGCCTTCAACTGTTGTGTGTTGTTTGGAGTTAGACCACAGATAGTCACGTCCGCCTCTATCTTATTGGACAATTCCAAATGATCTTTTTCTAAGAAAAGTTACACGCATGTATATTTAAAATAGAATATACAAAATTCAAGCTTCCTGATCAATTTATTTAAATAACAGAAAGCTACAATGACTACAATTAAGCAATCAGCTACCGAGTTTTGGGATCCTCTTCGTCAACGCAATTGCTTTTGCCAAATCTGTTGATTTACCAAGACAACTTAAAATTGCCTCCACGCGTCTGTAAAAAAAACATATATACCGGTCATGATATCGATGATAAAAAATCGAAATATACTGAATTACTGAACAATTTTTTTTACATCATGCATCTTACTTGTCTGCATCAGCTTTAAGAAGAAGTTCAACACCACACCGCGGTGGAGGATTGGAGCACATTTCTGCTGTTGGCTTGAGACTGTCCTTGTGTAGTCGAATGTGGACTTTCATTCTGCTGTCCTTCTTGCTTTTCTGCAAAATGTTAATTTCCCCATGACCTATCCAGATCTGTCTGTCATCTGGGTTTGTTTCGATGGTAGGTCGGGAGGGAACACCTTTCACCAAGTCACATCTAATACAAACGCAGTCAGAACTCAAGAGATATTTTGACTCTTTTTCATCTTCGTTATCCTCTTCACCAAAGATGATCGTTTTCTCGGATATACATCCAAATTCTAGATCTCTTTTAATACAGAAGGAATTTCGCAAGGTAAAGTTACAATCACTACAATCTGAGCGGCCAGAAAATTCAACAGGTAAATCATTTATGACAACAGGAGTCCCCTGGGTCATTTTAACAGCAGATTCCATGCGAAAGATACTCAACCAAATTTTTACGTATTCAACTGGGGATTTAATTTGTTGTGGAATTCTTTGCGTTGAATAACGTGCAAAATACTTTACAGGATCTTCAATATGCTGAAGGCATAACTTCACATTGTTCGTTAATTCTACCATTTGAACAGTAGGAACCATGACACCTTTTTTCGGTTCTGCTGTTAGTTGCACTGCCAAAATTTGACCATGATTGAGACTCATGCTAAATTCACAGCATTGTTGTATGATGTTGCCATCTCGAACTTCAGAGCTGACATCAGACTCTGCGTTGAAGCAGGCAGGCACAGATTGACTCATGTTTACATCTGGATGATCCGTTCCGAAAAAAGCCTCTTTCAAATGGGAAGTCTTGCCACTCAATATTACTTTTAAGATCTTCTGCCATTTCGGAAATTGCTGATATGTCACCCGTTGGTGTGGATCAATTCGCACCGTAAGTCCTTTCTTCTGAAATCTCATTTTTGGGGCATATCCTGTAAATGAATACAATCGTTGTTGCCATGAAAGCAAAGCTAGTGGTTTAGATTCTTCGTCAGATTTCACCAGTGGTTTAGCACAAACTTTCATCAAAGAATAAGGAATATCTTTGCAGTCTTTCGGTAGTTTTCTCATTCCTGGAAAATGCAAAGAAACCTCTTTCTCCGACACATTTTGAACCATAGAATAGCTCATCTGGGATCTTTTAGAAAGTTTTTTACCTAAATGAAGAGCAAAGCATTGTTTCTCAAACGATTTTTCTCGCTTTGTAACATCGTTGATTTCATCACACAATCTTTCAACTTCTTCCTTTGTGTATGGAGATTTTTGTCCATCAAGTGCTGCATGAACAAGTCTCTGAACTATAATATCAGCATACCTTCGAATTGGAGAAGTGAAATGAACGTATGGGAAAATTCCAAGGGAAAAGTGACATCCGTCATTTCTTGAAGTCAAATTTCCTGAACATCTGTATTTTGCAGACTCCTGAAAGGCAATCCATTCTTCAAATGCTAATGCCTGTTTTGGATGGAGTTCATCACATCCAATAAGACGAAGTACTTCTTCAAAATTTCCTTCCATTACATTCAAGGTCATTCTTTTCCAGACAGATATCTGAATTGGAAATATTTTATTCCATCTCATTGGTGAAACTGTACCAACATCAATTCTTGTGTTGTTCGGCAATGGCAGATGTTGAATTCCAAGCACAAACTTCCCTATTACTGGATTTGACTCCATCCATTCCATTACTTTCTCTGCTGAGGGTTGCTCCTGAACTCTGAGTGGCAGGCATTTTGGATATTTACTCAATAGATAGCTAGCAATTTGATGATTTGCCAAAAGCATAAATTCCTCAACAAGGTTGTGAGCATCGATTGCTGAGTAATAGCTGTCGCTACTTTTCATATAATCACCTTCGAATTGAAAAGCAAAACGCTTGTTTCCAAGACGTTTTTTCCGACGTTTTTCGGCAATGGCACTCAAAATACGAATATTTTCATTTAATTCAGTCTTATTGCTTTCATTTTGATCAGATATTATTCTTTGAACCTCCTGGTAGGTAAACTGACGACATGACTTCACGATTGTTCTTTCTACTAGGGGAGCACTAGTCACGTCTCCAGAGGAATTAACAACAAAGAAGACTGATATGGCGTTCCTATTTTCGTTTGGCAAAAGGCTGCAAATGTTTGTACTTAGAGGCTCGGGCAACATGTGATGAGGTCGATAACCTTCACCAGGATAAAATGTTCTTGTTCTTTCTCTGGCTTCTCTATCAATGGAATCACCTTTCTGTATGACACTCGCTACATCAGCAATGTGCACGCCAATTTGATAACAATTGTCTTCAATTTTTTTGACACTCAGTGCGTCATCTAAATCTTTGGATCCTGGGGGGTCAATCGTAAAGGCCTGATGGTCTTCTGCAAGAACCTCTCTGGGTTTATGCATGTTCTCTTGGAATGGGTTTTGAATGATGTCATTTGTAAGCTGTATTGTCTCTTCCTTGTAATAAGTTGGTATTTGGTTTTGGAGACACAGTACCTTCAGATTTGACTTTGAATTTTCACTGAAGCTGTGTACGGAGAGGACTGCACCAACAGGATAGAGCTCATTCCAACAAATGAGACAAACAAGAAATAAGTATCCGTTACGGTTAGCCGGATCTATTGACTTCAATTCTTCAAATTTCAGATCTTTTGCATTCTCGTCAAATCTATATGTCTCTATCTGGAACTGATTCTCAATATTGTTATGAAGGATACTAATTTTTGGGACAGTTTTGCATAAAGGCTTCACAAGATGTGTTTCAAATGCATCAAGCGTGCATAACAACACTGGATTTTTAATGTTGTTGAAACGTGTCCTCTTTGTTATTCCAACTACTTGCCCATACACTTTCCCTTCACTCTTGTAACCGAAACTGGGAGTTTTATTTAGGCGAGGAATGACATCTCCTCCAAGTGGCTCACTGAGGATTTCTACAACTACTTCATCTTCATTATATACCTTTCCGCATTTTGATCGACCTGATATTTCTATTGTCTTAATTTTGTCTTTTTCGTCCAATACTGTGCAGACTGCTCCATGAGAGGTTTCAATTGTGATTCTGCAATGTTTGTATTTTTGTGGTTTCTTTAAGCAAAGCATCAATGATTCTTCTTTTGTTTTCAGATCTGGATATTCGGCATATTTCATTTTGTTTCTTTTAAAGCTTCCAATGAAACGTTCTGACAAATTCAAACCATTTTCCAAGACACGCTTGTCAATGTCATGCATAATATCAAGATTTATGTCCTCAGGTTGCAGCAGACGTTCACAGCTTTCATTAAAAAAAGTATCTTCCTGAAGATCATCCTCTTCGCTCTCTTGATTAAAAAACTGAGAATTGAAATCTTGTGTTTGGTCCGTAAAGTAAAGATCATGAGTTGAACTTGCAGGAAGTGGTTGGTATTCATCCTCACTGTCTTCAGAATCAGCTACATGCATATTAGAGAAAATACATGACCCCTCAGAATTTACCTCACTACCAAACTCTGGGGTTCCTGTTTGGTGTCCAGTGGAGGACAATCCAGAGTCACCAGTACGGTTGCGCCTTCGTTTTCTTTTGGGCTTGGTTACAGGTAGGTCAAAATCTTTGACATCTTTCCAGCTTTTGGGAGAGTTATCTGACAGGGTGAGTGTTATTTCTTGTGCATCTTGAGAAGCATCCGAATCATATTTAGAACAACAATTTGGTTCTGTTCCATCACTTTCTGTGGTCGTTAATCTACCAAGGACAGTTTCCTTGTCTTTATTTTTCTTTTTGACTGAAAAATGCATTAAAGTTAACTTTTAACATTTACATACTAGAATGTATAATAACTGTTAAACTGTAACTTGAACCTGCTGTTTGTTATGCAAAAATTAGTATAATATAATACATTGTGATTTAGCAACATACTATCATTGTGCAAATTTCAAGTCATTACTTACTTCTTAGTTTCCATGACTTATATTTATAAATCATTAAATTATCAGATTTGTCAGATCACATTTGTTCAGTATAAAAAAAACATCAAACAAACCTCTTTCACGCTTGTTTTCTCTTTTTAATAGTTCCCTCTTTACGTCTGTGTTACTCTGAAATTTTTTCAATATAATTATTTTATTCTTGATTCTGTCGATATCAATTAAACTTATAGCTTTCTAATTCAATATATTGTCCTACCCTTTTGGAGACTTTGGCAGCAGCTATTTCAGGTCTTTCTGCACATGTGCTTTCGTTCAATTCTGCAACCTTCGTTTCTAGTCTGGTAAGTAATCTCTCAAAGGATGTTTTATCATGTATCTGTAGCATTCAAACGTTAACAAATGTTTACTCGTTTCGAGTGTTTTTGTTTCTCAATGTACAAAGTAGTCTTGCATGGCATATCAATCAAAAAAATAGTATAACTGACCGCTTCTGCCATAGCTATGGCGTCTTTTGCCTTGTTGATCGCTACATCCAACATTTCAAGCTGTTCCAACGCACACGCCCACAGCTCCATCACTAATGCCAAATTAGGGTCGGACGAATGACTCTTGCAAACTGAATCAATGATTTCAAATTTAAAAAAAACATTTACTTTCATTCAAATGATAAAAACTGGTCACTATGCTTCTCTAAGTCAAGTCACCATTTCCTATATTTAATACAATGTAAAGTAACTCAGCTTGATCCCAAACAAAGCTAATACAAAGCTTTTATACCCTAGTTCTTCCCCAGGCAATAGACTTAACAAATGAAAATCTACATCAGTAATTTTCTGTCTTTTAGAGAAGGATTTCAAAATTATTTTGATAGAACTTCCTCTTTGCTGTGTCCTAACTTTGAAGATCTTGATTTTGACAAATTTGAACCTGCCAGTGTATACGTATAACACGGAAATCTTTGCATATCAATTTGACGATTGTCACAATTTTAACAAACTTTTATAGAGAGGAATATTTGCAAAATAATTTAATCAACTGTATTCCAACAGGACGTTTTAAAGTTATTTTTCTGTTTTTAGGTAATATTGAGAAGCACCTAGTCCTGTTAGGATTGAGATGACAGAATATTTCTATAGTAGTAACTAACTTACGATTTTTGCACATTCCACACACCGGTCTGGGATTTTGCTGTAAATAACGGTTTCCACTTTAGATAAATAATCTTTTCATTAATCTCGAAATTTGATTTTCAAACTTTTTAAAAATACTGTTCGGTGACAGTTTTTTTCATAGCATACTTTTTTGGATACGATAATGTTTACTTTATAATTAAATAAAATAATTTACATACAATAATATCGCATTTACCTTTTTCAGAAGTTTCCATCCGTTGCTTATATCAAATTTTAGAACCTCACGCAGGATAAGTTCCATACTTGACCTATCTATACAGTAAGTGGACAGCAACAGGTGATAGCATATCTGTATTTCTTTGATGCAATTCGAAACAACTGGCCCCGATCTGTGTTCATACTCATCAATAACGGATCTTACATCTCGGATGATCTTCAACTTCATCTAGATAAAATAAAATCAGAACTTACACTGTTTCCAAATTAATAATGCTGTTAAATTTTAAATCTATCAGGGATACTGCATCCTTAATTAGATAATCAGAGTTTCTTTCATAAATGGGACTGAGTCAAAATGCCCAGAGAAAACATTAATAATCACAGTCTCATAGAAAAGATTTTTTTTAAAGTGTTCCATTCTATAACAAAAGAGATTTCTTTTTTCAGAAAGAATAGTCACATTTATCCACAACATATACGCTACTAGATAGATCTAGAATTAAAATACAGGTTTCATACCGCTAAATGAGACTCTGGATTTGTCAAAATTCCACCCCAAAACATTGCAGGGTCTATATACTCCAGTGAGTGAAATTTCTCTGAAAAATCATGTTATACTATGAAAATAAAATAGAAATGAGGTATGTACACGTGTTTTAGGCAAAAATCGCGTATGATTTTCTAGAAATTTCAAGCAGTATACCAAAATAAATAGAACCTGTAAGTTTATATGTTAGTATGTTAAATCACACGTTTTTGTATCGATTTAATTTATCAATCCAAACTAGGTATCACTTAGCATAAATACTATAACAACCAAATTCACATACCTCGGTAAAGGCACTTTAGTGCTAAACTACTGTCATTAAGCTGAAAGAAATAATAATAATAATAAAGATCTGCAGTTCCGGTTTCTGTATGAATATGATAACGATGAATATCAAACTGATAACGATGAATATCAAACGGATCTTACATCTCAGATGATCTTCAACTTCATCTAGATAAAATAAAATCAGACCTTACATTGTTTCCAAATTTCGTACTTCGTACTTACCTCTAAAGCGAGACCTAAACATCTGTCGTAAGCAACACAGACTTTCTCATCGTCCATTTCCTCTTCATAATATAATGCAATGGAGTCATATAACTGTGTTGCAAATTCCTTGGCTCTGATATAATCTCCATTCTTACAGCAGGTGTCTGCCGCAAGATGGAACTTCTGCCAGTCCGAGTCTGTTTCCATACTGGTAATATACCCTGTTATTAAAATAGGTAATTGTTTTATCGTTAAAGTTTTCTTTAAAAAAATATTTCTAGAAAGTTCGGTATATTTAATATACAGCGAGTTTAAAAATAACTCAGTGTTGGTCCCAACGGTTATAGTTATGAGGCTTACTAATTACATTACATGTAAGTCTATATCCTTAAAGCGGTTAAAACACTACACTCATTTACTGTATTTATTTTATTCCTTATATAAATTTTAAAATAAAAAAAATAATAAATTCATAGAAGGGGTATTTAAAAAAAATGTAAGTATTCTAATTTCCTGATACATGTATATACAATCCTTCTTACCTTTGCTACACTAAAAATCCATAAAAAAAATCACCGAATAAAAAAAAAGGTGTATTGATTGAGGAAACAACTAATCAGTATAAAAAATTAATCCAGAAAGCACATTGGTCTTAATATTACCGAATAGATCTATATTTAACGAGAAAACTAAAATGGTTTCTATGCTATAGCTTTATGACATTAAGCACAACAAAATGTGCAGTATATGACGCATATAAGGAATTTCCAGGTGCTAGATTCAGTTTCCTTTCTGAATAAATAAACAAATTGTGTAAGAATTTTCATAACTTGGACAGTGACAATAAGTGAACCTGGTTTATGACCAAGGAAATGTGCAAATAATAGTTTAAGTCGGTAAAATGATTCTGAAAACTGGAATATAAAATATCAGTAACTCAGTTCTGACACTAAAGTCTAGTTTGTGTTAAGTGCATATTTACTTCTAAAGTAGGTTTTGTTGTCCCTTTTCCTCTTTCCCTTTTACATGTATATTGACAGAGTGTCTTGAATACTGAGGGGTTCAAGTTTGCCAATCAGATTGACTGTGCACGGGCATCGTCCCTTGGTATCGTCTGTATTCAAGTCCATTTTTAACATCATGCTATAGTATGCTGCTATTATTTTTATTTTTTATTTTTAACAAGTATTCATATGGTTTTGTATCTCTTCAATTTTTTATTCTTTTTTACCCAATTTTTAACTGTGGAAATGTTAAATATTTCAAAATTTAATGCAAGTAAGTGCAACATGATTCTGAAAACTGGAATATAAAATATCTATAACTCATTTCATAAAGGTCTATTTTGTGCAAAGTACATAATTATTTGTAATTTTTTTTATGCTTTCCCTATCACTTTTAAATGCATGTTGAACGAGTGTCTTGAATACTCAGAGTACAGGTTTGCCAGTCAGATTGATTGTGCACAGACAGCGTCCCTCGGCACCCTCTGTATTCGAGTCACCTTTTTTTTTTACACTGTGCAATATAGTACAATATCTTCATGTGGTTTTGTACCTCTTCTTTATTTTTGACCCAGTTTCAAACAATTGTGGAAAAGTTAAATATTAAATTTCTTAAAGCATATCATAAAATATCTATCATTTCTACAATGGAGGTATAAAAAGCAGATGTACAATCCTGACAATGCCACATTAATGATAATTTTAACTCCTCTTCGCAGTATAAAAACACATGAAAAACTTTCAAAACTGATGTTTGTTTGCTTTTTTAGAGCAAAATCGTCATGAAGAATTGGTTGATCTGTGTCGTTAGTGATCAAATTAATCTTAAATGAATCTAATTCAATAATATCTAGAACCGATTTTAAACAAGACTACAAACTGATAATTTAAGGTCCCTTACCGTGTGTTTATACTCTGTCTGTAGTGTCCTTTCAATGAAAATTCAGCGTATTCGTAATAATTCCTTCTGCAATTGTCTAGATTTGTGTATGATGCTATAAGTATGGACTACCTTTTAACGGTAAGTCTTTATAAAGAGAAATCGGGTCAACTTTTTGAAAATCAGCGTTTATTTTTGTTACATACAGAGTGCGCAAATGTAAACAATTCGTGGAAACTCAGTATCTATAAATAGAAACAGACGTCAATATTCTACTTTCAATTTGCTTTCCAGATATAGAGGTTTGTTTGAAATTCCATTCTTCCTAATTTTAAGATAGACTTAGGTCTAGATGATTTTTTAAAAAAAAAAGTGTAGATAAATAATTGTGAAAGTATTTATGAATTGTTCATATGTAGGTGTTATGAATTTTCCTGAGCAAGAAACAATTAGCCTAACTATACATACCGTACTTTGAGATCACGAAAATTTATACGTTTGTAATACACTTGTATAGTGGTTTAGATTTCAAACCCTATGCTTATTTCATAAAAAGAAAAAAATATCAATTAATATGTACTGTTGTACTTTAAAACATAAAATCTTTATCAATTGTATTTAATTATAGAATATCGTTTCACTACATTCATATACATGTACATGTATGTTTGCACAAGATATAATAATTTTGCAAAGCATCAAATCGGCAATTAAAAAAAAAATCCAACAGTTTAAGGAAAAGGCACATGAATTTTATAATAAATCTTTTGCTGTCAAAGTAAAACAAAAACTAAATGTCAAAAAATTTTATTTCATCATCTACAAGTCAGTTTATATAAACAGCAAGTTAAAAGAAATGACACTACCTAATTTTCGGTGCATTCGTTTAATCAATATATAAAAATTACTTTTTGGATGTAAAAATCAGAAAAAAGAATAGGAATGTTTTATTGAAGTCCATGGAAGCTCCTGGATTCTAGAGATTTTGTAGGGTAAAGATGAGGCCGACCAAGTAGAAATTTTTACATTTCCTCGACGAAACTATGATTTACGCTAACTTTAACAATTTTAGGGGGAGGGGCGCCGGTTGCGCCCCCCCCCCTAAATCCGCCACTGCATCGTACGACTGAATACAGAGCATCATCCGATCCAACGAATCTATCCTTTAGTGAACTACTACTTAAATTTTACAGAAAATGTGAATGGTTTCAAAATTATTCCGCCGTATGCTTTAAATGACTTTAAACAGATGGAACGGAAATGACTTTCTTAAATGTACATTTATTTAACCTACATTTACATTTCATATGTGTTTTCTTTTTAAAGCAGGCACGTAGTATCGATTTTGAAAAGAGGGTGTTGCCGGAAGAAAATATATATGAAAAACTTTAGCATAAAACTCCAGCATAAAAGAAAGGAAAGTTGGTGTGGGGTGGGGTGGGTGGGAGCAACCAACCCTTACATGACATATTTTCATAGTAAATTTACAGTAAAATATGATGTGGAAAAAAGGGTCAACCCCCCTCCTTAATTTGTTGAAAGCTTCGTTATGGACGTTCTAGATATCATTCTTTTTATTATAATCTGCATAGCCTATCATTGAATAACAACTTTCTGTTAGAGGTAGCCCCTTGTATTGATTGTGTGTACTCTATAACGCGTATTGCATAAAGGTAAATTTATATATATAAACACGAGATTAAAAAAAAATATGACATCAATGGATCTCCATACAATCTGATATTTATTACATCATCATGGCCGGTGTTTTGAAAACTTTGAAAGTTTTCTTTTTTGGGTCAGACGATTCTGAAGAAGAGGAGTACAACAGTGATAATGAGTGGGTTAAGGATTCTAATCAGTCAATCATCAAACAGGTAAGATCTGATGCCCCAACATGGAGGCAGTAATCGAGCAAACTGTGCTAATATCCCGTAGACTCTTTGTTTCATAGTTGTTGATTATCAGAATCCAAGGGAAATGGCTCGATGGCTTTGCTTTCATCATTAACGTATCATTTGAAATAGAAATATTTGTAAATGGACCGTGCGCATATGTAAACCTAATTATTTTTTTTTCTATATATTAAAGGTAATTATATGATTATCCACCTTAAGTGTTTAGCATGAACATTTTACATATAGTACGGCAAAGCCTTTAATTGTCATTAAACTAGACTATAGTATTATATTTATGTCCTAAACAGAACCAGACTAATGACGCCATTTTAAAATATGACGTCAGAAAATAATTGGTAATTTTGGCATATGACTATAGATCCAAGAGAGCGCTCAGGTATGTCTGTCCAGTTTGTCTGTCCCAGAGACCACAGTTCTGCAATAGTTATTAGCAAATATTTCAATGAATTGATGACAAAAGGAATGTACATATTTTTATTGTGTTTTATTTGAAGTAAATTTGATTAATAGATTAAATAAAATTAAATATCAATCTGAAGGATGACCGATGATTACTAGTATTTCTCGTGGTTGTGTACGTTAGATCTATTGTATTCTCTTATGAATCGTATGATTGAATAATGATCAGACGGCATTCAGGGGTACATTTTTTTTTTATATTTATAAATAAAAAAAATTAATTTACTGTCGAACAAATAGGCTAGTTCATCAAAATAGTAACTATTATTTATAGCTTGAACCAGCTATATATTGTTTTATTAAACTTTTCAGAATAGCTAAAAGCTAAGCTATTTTAATTCTTGAAGCAAATTTACAAAACGGAAAAATATCCTTTTTTATTTACAGCAAAAACAAGCGCAAGATGATAAAAGAGCACGCTTTCAGTCAGGTAAATACTCCTAATTTACACATCTTATTTATTAGAAAGAGATTGTTAGAATATCTTTATTTATATATATGAACGTACCTGGCCATAAGTGAGTCATAATTTTATTTTCCCACTATAAATTTCATTGAAAAATGCATTTTTCTAAAATATTATTGCAGTGTTATTTGTAGATCATTTTTTATGACTAAAACACCATAAAATGTAGAATTCTTTGCAGTTTCTTGATATAATTTCAAAATAATTTTATCTGTAGGCACTGCGGTGATACCCACAAGTCAAATGCAAATTAAAAAAATTACGACTCTAATTTGTTAAGAAATCATAGTAATTTGAGGTTAGAAATATTTGTCTCGACGATTTAGTAAATTATTCTCATTGTTTAGTGTATCATTATGTTTAGCATTATTAGACAAGAAAATTTGAACAATTCTGCATGATTTAGTGGAAAAAATCATGGAAATTGGGCTAAAATTGACTTCACAATAAGTTTTAATAAAAATTGGTTTTTCAATGAAATATATAGTGTAAAAATGCTATTATGACTCTTATATGGCCATATACTTATATCTCTTGACAATTCTAGACAATTCATATAATTAGGCAAGACATCACTATCACCTCTTGAAAATAAATTACAAGTTCGTATATACACCATGTAAGCTTGTACGACCCTCTGTACAGGTCTATACATAGTTTAATGGATTTCCCCTGTGTTTAAAAATAAATTGCATTTTCCGAAAATGTTGAAACTTCGCCAAGAAGCCTCTGTATCGACCACAAGTTTTAATCAATAATTAGACCATACTCCGCTATACAAGTATTACGTCATTGCATGCATCACTGTTGTATATGTTGTACACTTCCGCGTATATGTTAAAACAGAAAGTAGATTGATAACAAAATGTATTTATAAAACAGAACAGTCCAGAAGAGAGGAGAAACTCCGTACTGAATCAAGAATGCCGGGCAAACGTAAACCAAGGATAAGGCGGACCAGCTGGAGCCGTGAGTAGTAATTGGGTTTCTTAATGGTTTGGGGGGTCACGGGCTGAATAATTTTATCACTTTTCACGAAAAAGAAACCAACAATAACGTAAGTCTATCATATATGGTTAATCTGATTCATTTTTATTGAAATTAAAAATGCATATTTAATGAAAAATAATTGTCATGCATGTGTGATTATATTTGTCTTGCACTGGATGCACTTCAAGTATATACTGAAAAACTGCATAGCAGAAAAATGCATGTATAGCACTTCGAAACTGTGCTTAAAAGCCATTTTCAACAAAGGTTTAAATACACATTTTACAAACATTGTTATCAAACACACAATGTAGGATACGATAAGGGATAGCATATCAGAATCGGAAATACCTAGTAGTTCATAACCCTACAGAGTGGTGGTCATTTACGTGTACAGCGCCCGAACTCCGTACTTATACACACGCTGCACATTCGGTAACAGTCATTACTTCTAGGTAAATTCAAGCAATTTCAAAAACGAAAGTTAATATCCAACCTTAATTATTGAGAAAAATCAATCATCATACATGGCTTTCAGTGGGTGCAAAATGAAAGTGCACATACCAAGGAACCACAACATCTATTTAAGAAATGTTTTTAAGTAACAGGTGTTTCAGTATATATGTACGACAGAAATAATTTTGAATATACAAAATGTACATATAAAAAAATATGAGTGTCCATAAGGAATTGATTGTACATGCATTTAATTTTTATGCATCAAGTACGAAGCTTTACAGGGATGCACCAGTGCCTTTTCCTATTTTATATTACATGTATCAGTTTAAAAATAACAAATATTAATTAGTTTGAAAAAAAAAATGAAAGTACAAATAATTGTTAAAACAAATCAGTGATTACACAACTCGGAGAAAGGGGGTTCTTACTTCCAACTCCCCCCCCCCCCCCTCTTGATCAGCTAATGATGATTTTATTAAACTTGAAAAAACGTAACAAAACCCCCAAATTAGTAATTTGTAAGAACAAATACATGTAACTTATTTGACTAAACAAAGTATTTATTTGTCAGATCAAATTGATAATTTGTTATAACAGATAAATTATATTATGAATTTGAGATAACAAATTAAGACATTGTAATTACAAATTAATAATTTGTAATTTTAAATTAGAAAAGGCACCCGAGCCGCCGTTAGAAGCTTCCGTAAATACACAAAAACACTCCAATTAATTATTTGTTTTAACAATTAACTAATTTAATATAACAATCAATAATCGGTAATAACAAAGGATAATATGTTAAAATAAATAAATAAATTGTTATTACAAATTGATAATTTGTAATTAAAATCTGTTAATTTGTATTAATTAATTAAAGGTACAGATGCAGTCCTTAGATAAAAGTTTCTGTAATCTAGTGCCACGCCCCCACCGTTTTTTTTTTAACAAACTTATTTTTTTTTTTTACCTCAGTGTATGTTTATCCTGTAACTAAGATTTTTTTCACCTCGTCTTCAGAATATCAAGTCAGTTAATCTAACTTCCATGGTTTCAGAGATTTTCAATTTGTTTGATTGATATCTTAAAAAAAAAACTTAAAACAAACAGGAGTAATGAATATCGTACCTGTAAGTTGTGAAAATAATGAATGACCCAGACATGCATGGAAAAAAGAAAATTCTTGTGTGAGGTACTTGGCCCGTTAGTGTTCCTTTAACACCCTTCAATCTATTTTTAACTGTCAATTCTTAATCCAGGAAGTCATTAAGTTTTATCAGGGTGTTCACTATCAGATTGGTCAGGCAGAAGTATTAGTTTCTTTATTTTTTCTGAATTTGTCCAGTTATTGTTCTTGGAATAATATACATGTATTAAACCTTTCTTGTATCAGGAGTAAATGTGTATTGAAAAACAAAATATTCATAAAGATTCTCAAATAAAAAAAATGTTTTTTGTATGTTGGCATTTTCTTCTAAATTAAGAAACCTTTTTTTGTAAGAAATGACAACTTTTATCTAACATGATCACATCTAAATGACAAACGAACAGTATTTAATTCATCAAGAAAGACTCGCATCAGTCAGTACTAAAATCAGTTCAGTAGATGCAAGCGTCTGGAAAAAGAAAACTGGGAAAACCAAATGGGATAGAATGACGGACAGACGGACAGAAATTGTATAAACTCAATATGCTTTAGTTGACCATAGGCTTTTGGGTGAAGGATAATCCGATAATATATATTTTATATGTTATAATGTATTGTCAAGGAAATTCGAACTATTGTTGTAACATTTTTTTCAAGCTCACAGTGTTTATTCTATTTAATTTTTTTTTAAAAATCTTTCTGTTCGATACATATATACATTAAGCTGTCACAGAAATTTAAATTAATATGCACGTTTTAAAAATGACGTATCCAGCATGTGTAAGAAAGATAAACAAAGGTTGCAATTACCTTTGCCCCTTTCCGTGTCCCCGACACGAAACACACACACACACATATGATATATATATATATATATATATATATATATATATATATATATATATATATATATATATATATATATATATATATATATATATATATATACACTGTATATATATATATATATATATATATACACTGTATATATATATATATATATATATATATATATACACTGTATATATATATATATATATATATATATATATACACTGTATATATATATATATATATATATATATATATATATATATATATATATATATATATATATATATATATATATATATATGATAATAATAAATAAATAAATAAAATATTTGAAAAATGATGAAAGTAATAAACATAATTAAGTGTATATAGTTGAATTTAGATCTTTAAAAAATATGTGACATTTCATCTGGAACTGTTTACGTCCATTCTGGAATAGACTAGTTTTCTCAATCATATTACATTTAGACACAAGATGTGTTTGTGAAACCCTGATGCCCCCATATGACAGCTTAAGGCGAAGGTTAAAGTTTCTCAAATGCAAGCCAAACTCCAGGTCAAGAGATAAAAAATGTTGGTACCCAAAAAAGGTCTTTTCTCGAGGAATATACCAGTGAAATTTGAAAGCCCTAGCACCAACTCTTCAAAAGTTATGGCGAAGGTAATTTTTTTTAAAAGTAAGTAAAACGTCAAGGTCAAGGTCAAATGGGGCCCCAAGTGAAGGTCTTGTCACAAGTGATACACATGTTCGTGAAATGTTAAAGCTCTAGAACCAAACGTTCACATGTTATGGCCAAGGTTAAAGTTTTTCAAAAGTATGTCAAACTCCAAGGTCAAGGTCAACGCCAAAGTTGTTGGTGTCAAAAGGAAAGTCTTGTCACAAGGTATGCACATGTGAAGTAGGAAAGCCCTAGCACCAACTATTTAAAAGTTATGGCCAAGGTTAAAGTTTTTCAAAAGTAGGTCAAACTCCTATGTCAGGGTCAAAAGGTCAAATTGTTGGTATCCAAAGGAAGGTTTTCTCACAAGGAATACACATGTGAAGTATGAAAGCCCTAGCACCAACTGTTCAAAAGTTATGGCCAAGGTTAAAGTTTTTTCAAAAGTAGTTCAAACTCCAAGGTCAAAGTTGTATGTATTTAAAGAAAGGTCTTGTCACAAGAAATACACATGTGAAGTTTAAAAGCCCAAGCACCAACTTTTCAAAAGTTATGGCCAAGGTTAAAGTCGCATAAAATTTTGCAAAGTGGTTCAAACTCCAAGGTCAAGAGGTCAAACATAATGGTACCCAAAGAAAGATCTTGTCACAAGGAATACACATGTGAAATATGAAAGTCATAGCTCCAACCAATCAAAAGTTATGGACAAGGTTAAAGTTTTTGCGGACAAACAGACAGCTAAACAGACAGACAGACAGACAGCTAGACGAACGGACGGACGGGGAAAAAACTATATACCCCCGAATCTTCGATACGGAGGCATAAAAATAGGGAGTGCACATTAAATTATCACTCGTGCCCCCACCAGAGCTTCGCATGGACCTACTTGGGGTCCCCAGACTACCTGCCATTTTAAGGATACACTTTGTTTGGTGCTTAGCTACGCCATTGTTAACTATCATGTTGTACATATGAAATCTGGGGGTTTCAAAATGATCAAATTATTGTATTACTTTAAATGGATGCAGAAAGATGAACACAAATAATATTGACATGACCAAATTCGCTAAAAACTCCACGCTTCATTCACTAATCAATCCCTTATTTAGTAAATACTTTTGTAGTATTCAGTAATGGCAATAAATGCGTCACATAAAAGTCAGCGATAAAGAGACATATGGACATGGTGGTTACTACACACACACACACACACACACACACACACACACACACACAAGTGTCCATAGTTTTGAAGAGCCCTTATGAAAGTTTTGAAGAGAGTGATACGCACGATAATTATCTCAGGAATTTTGAATATTCACTTTGATCTGCTTTGGATATCACTGTGTACTTTTTGTTTCGACTGATCTGCAGAACAAGTCCAAAACTAAATAATGACCCAAAAAAGCAGAAAAAGACATAATATAAATGTGTTTGAGCTGCAGATGATGTCAGAGAAATAAAAAAAGTAACATATGATAATGCATCTTTAAGAATTATCCAAAGTTAAATTAAATTATTTTAAAAAATCTGAACTTTTATTGAATTTCTTTCAGAATTATCTAGAGAAGATGAGGCCCTTCTGGACAGAGATGATGAGCAAAATATACACAGAGTTCAAAGTTTGCAGGACATTTCTAACAACGAGTTGCCTTCTCAAAGGCGTTCGTTCTCCTCTCTTTTTCATCCAGCTCATGCACAGTCAAGTTCAAACATTTCAGTCCAGTTTGATACTGGTAACTCTGCAAGCGATTCTACATCGTCCGATATGGAAGAATTGGAATCGTGCAGTGGATATTCAGAGTCGGCTGAAGATGAAGACTTTTACGTTGACGAAGAAGAGGTTAATTCTTCTCAGCCAGGAAGATGTTTCACGATTCCGAAAGAAGACAGTGAAAAGTCAAAATTTGAAGACAGTTGTGCATATTATGAAAACAACGAAAATGAAGAAGAGGATATATTACAACAGGATATGATGAAGTATGGTTTAGACCTACCTGAATGCAATGAACCGAGCCAAACAGATAAAAAACAGCAGAAATTATACGACGAATTTTTGCCAGTTGATCAATTAGAACAAATACTTCGGTCAAATACACAGCGTTACAAACGTTGTAAAGTTTCCATTCAAGGAGCACATGTAGCACAGTGTACAAACCTTGACGTTAGAGATGAGCTGAAAGAAATTGAGATATCAGGAAGATCAAAGGCAGGAAAGGTATTTGATGGAGACATTGTGCTAGTGGAGATTTTTAACTACGAAAAATTTACAAAAACAGTCATTCAAAGACTTCAGCGTGACATCAATAAGGATAACAGGTCGCAGAAGATCTATGGCAAAATTATCGGTGTTTTTGAAAGGAGGAAGGCCAGAGACATTGATCATCCAGTTTTTGTATGTACCTTGGATGACACAGCATATTATTTGATGAGACCTGTATGCAGAACAGTTCCAAAACTTCACGTTGACCATAACAGACAGAAAAAGTACACACTTCAAGTGTATAAGTATGATACAAAGTCCTCAAATATTGAACCTGACTCCGAATTTCGGATCGACCCTGGGAGAAAATCGTCCTTTGTCTTCTTGGTCGTGTATTTGTCTTGGTCTAGTTTGTACCCAATGGGTGCAGTGATAGATGTTATCGAAATTGAAGAAAGTTACTCATCTGCAATGAAAATTCTTCGACTTCATCATCAGGTACCAGAGTATTACCAGAAAGAAACTGTTGAATATACAAAGAAACTAATTAATGATATACAAGGAGAAGCTAGTAGAATCGTGAGTGAGGAGGACCGTGAAGACTTAACTCATCTTAGGGTCTTTACTATTGACCCCGAAGGATCCCAGGACATTGATGATGCTCTCAGCGTAGAAAAAGTCGGCGACATTTTTGAAATTGGAGTTCATATTGCTGATGTAAGCTTGGTTGTGAAGAAAGATGATCAAATTGACGGGGAAGCTCAAGAAAGAGCTTGTACATTCTATCCTGGCCAAGGAATGAATCCTTACCACATGCTTCCTGAGCCGTTGTCACGTGATATATGTAGTTTAAGGCCTGGGGTTATGCGGCCTACATTGTCTGTTATGTTCAGAATGACTAAAACTGGTCGTATTGAAAACCAATGCATTAAAAAAACGAAAATTAAATCCTGCAGAAAATTCAGTTACGAGGAAGTGCAGCAGATTATTGAGAAGGGATCATCTAGTGACAATGCTTTAGAGAAGGACATCCTCCAGCTTTTTGAAATAGCTAAAACAATACGTACAAAAAGACCAGGATCAGGATTTCATGCTTTTCCCGTTGAGACCAAACTGAATGACAATGAGGATTCAATTTTGAATTCAAGAGAAGCCCATTATCTAGTTGAAGAGTTCATGATTTTGTCAAATACATATGTTGCTGCATATTTAAGAAGTCGATTTCCGAAAGTTATCCCTCTCCGTTGTCAAGCTGCCCCCTCTTTAGAAATTCTTAAGAAATGGAAAGATCAAAATTATCCATTTCTGCACATGGTGCTTCGCCTTCAGAATGTTGATCCAAGTGCAGGAATGGGGGGTGATAAGATAGACCTAAATTCTCTTGGACCTTTCCGGTATACAAGGATCATGCCTGTTCAGAAATGGGTGTGGGAAAATATCATCGATGCGGTAAGAAATAATGACATCCAGTCAGCAATACAATACCTTTGCACTGATGAACTGCATCCTAGCCAGTGTTTGGCATTAGAAGAATGGATTTCTTTCCAGGAGAGTGCTTCATACAAATGCAGTGGTACCCTAAATGACCAAAGAGAAGGGATGCATTTTTCTTTGCAACGAATGATGTATGTACATTTTACATCACCAATAAGGAGATACCCTGACATTATTGTCCATCGTCTACTTCATGCAGCTATTGACAATAAAAAATGTCCATATTCAGAATCAGAGGTTGATACCCTGTGTCAAAGCTTGAACGATGTCATTAGGAGAGCAAAAGATTTTCAAAAGCAATGCAGGATGTTGACTTGGGGATTTAGATTAAAGCAATGTCCACAAATTCTGCAGGGATTTGTTCATGAGGTATCCGACAGATCTGTTTCCATTGTTTTACCTGGACTCAGAAGTCTTCCTCAGATATGCAAAGAAATTGAGTTGAACCTTCTACATGTATACGAGAGGCCAAAATTTGATAAAGATACAACTACTGGAGACCTCATTATGACCCTTAACTGGCTACTTCGCATTTATGATGTGTCAGGCAAACCAAACAGAGATGAACGTAAAGCTCAGAGATTACACTGGTTGTCAGATGAGGCTAGAAAGGAAGTTTGCAAACGAATAAATCCCCATGCAAGAACAAAGTTTGTTCTTCAAGAGAGGTGGAAAGAAATACTATTAAAGGTGGTTCGTGGAGAATACCATGATCTGGAAAACAGTATCACAGTTCTTCAGGGAAAAGCATTGTACAAAGACTCAAATAAACCGGATTGCAATAAAGAAGTCGATGAAGATCTTCATAATTATGTACCTGCATGTAAAGATACATTACTTGATCACTCATCCGAAGTAGAAGATGGAGAAGTGATTCGCCAAGCATGTAGATTTTCAATGTCTTTATCTCGAGGACAAGTAGTTTGTGTGCAAATAACTGCTGAACCACAGAAAGGAGTTCTTGTACCATCCTTACAACTGCTTGATATGTCGAAAAATATCAAACACTGCTTGCAACACAGCCGCGATCCAATCAAGTTTTTATCCAAATATTCGATACACAAATCCAAATCAAAATACCCTTCAGTGGTTGCTTATCTACAAATTTGGTTGCCAATAATTGAGATGGAGGCCGTTACAAATGCAGCGCATGATGATTCTCCAATCATCAATGGAATAAGTGTCTACATGGAGTCATGTCAAATGGGATATTTCATTCTTGATCATTATTTTTGTGAACAAAGAGACATTGATTTCAGTGCAATGTCGCCACATTTTATCCTTGTTGGTGACGACGAGAACAAAAGTGAACTAATTACAAATACTGATTATTTATGCATTAGGTCTGAACATTTAACCAGTAAATCTAATGAAGAAAGGAAAACATCATCCGTAGACCCAAATTACCGTTTTCAGTGGGTCCTTCATGGACAGATTGGCAACATTGAAAAAATCATGAAACCTACGCCTCAAAAGAAAGATTCCTTGGAGGTTGAAACGAGAGAGGGTGACGAAAAGAAGCGGAATGTCATAGACAAGTATAAGATTCATTTTAAGCTCCACAAGGAAAGCAATAAAGCATCAACCGAAATGATGTTCTCGGGAAATGGATTTCCTAGCTGTGTAGAACTGGTGCAGAAATCCGAAACAGAAACGTAGCTATCTTTGTTTTTGTGCTGTATATTATCCAAGAGGCCCATGGGCCACAAGTTCGCTCGAATCACTTTGTTCTTGCTGTTCTTGAGAACACGGTTTAAAAAAGTATTTTCCTTTTAAATCCAGCATGAAACTATGATCCTTTTTCGCGGTGAGGGGACAGTGACTTGACCGAACATGAATGTATGTTAGTTCGGAATTGAAAATCAGGGATGCTTCAGATAAGATCTTAAATATCGAGGTTTCTTGTCTTGATAGGCGTTGGCACGATAAAGAACCCTCATTGCTCAATGGCCATGAGTGCTAAGTATAGGTGAAGTTTGAAGTAATATAGTTTGAAGCCCTTCACCGGCAAATGATGACGTCTCTGTATGAGTGAAAAAATTTCGAATGGGCGTTAAACAACATACAAAGAGTATATATGAATATAACATAGGAATGTGGCTAATTTTAACCCTGCTTTTTTGAAGTTTTGACCTTTGATGTGGTCCTGCCTTAACTCATGGGCCACAATCGGATCAAAATTCCATTTTCTCTATATGGACCTGAGCATATCAATTTGACTAATTTCGACTGTACTGTTCTTGGCCCTGTTTGCTGAGTAATGGTCTAAATTTGAAGCCCTTCGCTGGTATATGGTGACGTCTCTATATGAGAGAACTATTCTCGAAACGGAACGTAAAACAACATACAATCTTTATATTACATTATTTGACTCCCTGTTGTGACCTTGGCCGGGCATGATTTGAACAAGGTTGAATCTTTACTACTTTGGGATTCTCAAATATTAATATGACTAATTGTAGCTATTGTTTATCGAGAACAAGAATTTTATTCCTACGTATTACTGTGTTAAACTTTGACACCTGTATGGTCTAATCCTAGCCCATGCGATGGGATGGCTTGAACAAATTGAATATACATTAAGGAAGAAAAAATTAACACAAGTTCTGTATTTTCTGGTCCAGTGAAAGCTTTTTAATTGACTCCACTATATATTTAATTTGCTTTTTAAATGACTCCACTATATATTCACTTGTTCTTGCTTATTTCGCTCAGAAAATTAATTTACCAAGTGATGCTTTGTGTCGAGTGTTGTTAAAACTGGGCGAATGGCTCTGGAGAAAAGAATATGAAACGAAACAACAGTTGACAGACTAAGAGGAGACAGACGATGAACAAACGTTGCTCAGAAACCCTTTGGCTTATGTGCGCTAATAAACTGAATGAAATTACATTTCTTAGTAATTTACATTTAGAAGTCATATTTTCTTTTTATTGGTGTTGAAAATTTGCCTACTTTTATTTTTCATAGCCGGATAGAGGCTGTTGTGAATTGTCTTGGGAAATCCAGCAAGTTAGCTAAAAATATAGCTCTACAGAGAGTCACACCAGATCTAGGTAATACCGAGCTTTATATCTTTCTATGCATGTACAAGAAATCTCGGTAGAAAATTATTTAAATATGTGTCCTTGATTTTTGTGTCGCTCTGCAGTGCAGAGCGACACATAGGAATCATTTTTCCCGACGTCTGTGTGTCCGTCTGTTACACCGTATATCTTGAGATCTTTAAGAGGTATGGATTTGCATGATTTTCTGGTCATGTATTGCTAGGCTGTATGGCTTTAGTTAAATCAGTGGTCACCAACCTCGTGCACTTTCAAAATAGCCTTTGACCCACTTTATAAAAAAAATTCAAAATGCCAATGTACAGCATTTTTTTTAAAGACATTTGAGAGGATAAAACTGTGCTGTTTAGTATGTACACTGTTTGTCATAAGACATGAAAAAACAAGCGTTACAGTCCACTTGACCTTTGACAAAATTTTAAAAAATACTCTTAACGGTTATTTTATCTTATACATGTATCTTCTGAAATTTGGGACGCAGAGCTTCGGTAAATGGTATACTTATTTTGAGCTTATGAAATTAATCTTATAAACTGTGTGATAAATACATGTACTTACCACAAATACTATATATGACAATACATCGGCATCGGAACACCGAAATGGATCGTGTTTAAAATAAAGTTGTACACTGACAATGCATAAAGACAGACTTAAATCAACACTTTTGAGTAAAATACAGAAATAATCTTTTCTAATAGTTTTAATTTTATTATTTATTTTAGCTTTGAAGGTTGAATTATTATTTTTGATGTCGTACTTTATGATAAAGGCTATTATATCGAAGTGTTAATATTTGTTGATATTTATTTCTTTGCAGAAAAATGCATGAACAATGATACTTGTATTCAAATAAACTTTGGTGTATATCTTTAATAATGCTATAGCGGGCGACAAATGCTTTTCCTTGGAACACTTGAGTCTTTTTTTACAGGTGAAACTTACCTGGAAAAAGCAAGAAATATACAAATCGAAATAGATTTACCATCCATTGCAGCAAGCAATGTATATCAAACACAAGCCATCAGGAATTCACTAACCAAGAGCTTTAGCCTTATCCATGGACCTCCAGGTAAGTTTAAAGTACATGCAGATTTAAATTATTACATGTAAAGATGTTTTGTCTGAAAGAAAAACAGAAATGTTGTTTACTATTTTTTTAAAATATAATCATCGAAGGAAGAAGTGTTTTACAAATCCTCTTTTCCATGGTAATGATTGAAAGTATATTGGCTCACATGAGCCGAAATCTCAAGTGATATTTTTTTTTTATCACATTTTGTTCTAAATCAATATGTCCGTCTGTAAACTTTTAACATTTTCATTTTCTCAAATACCATTGAGCCAGTTTCAACTTAACTTGCTACAAACCTTCCTTGGATCAATGGTAATCAAGTTTGAGAAAATTGATAGCCACGTCCTCTTTCAAGGGAAGATATTTAAAAATTGGTGGAACAATGGTGACATCTTTTAAAATTTCCCGCAAGAACCACTTGGTCAGAAAAGATAAAACTTAATGAAAGTTTCCTGACATAATGTATATTTAAGTTTGTTTAAATTGTGGCCCCTGGGGGGAAAATTGGCCATAATAGGGTATCAAAGTTTTACATGGGAAATATATGAAAGGTTTTAAAAGTCGGCAATGATTTGTGATATGTAAAAACATTCACAAGTAAGATAGAATCAAGTTTGTTTAAATCATGGACCAGGAGAGTAACGTTGTGGAACAATAGGGGGTCAACATGGGAGTACATGTCTTTAGGAAAAAAATCTAAAAAGTCTTCTGACGATGAGCAAATGGGCCATGATCAATCAAATTTGTATGGAAACAGGTCCTCAGGTTGTTGAGGTTTAAATTTATTTAATTTATAAAATCATGGTCCCCGGGATGCAATTGGTGATAAAAGATTTACATGATAAGATATTGGGGAAACAGAAGAACAGCTGGACCCTAAATTAGTCATATTCTTTTGGGGGCATTCACAAATAAAGTAGAATCAAGTTTGTTCAACTCATGACCCAAGAAAAGGTGGGGGGATACAAGGAGATCTTCATCTCCACTTTCATCGAGATCAGGACGGCCATGTTTATTCATATAAATATTGAAGAATCATCAGGTAAGTCAAGTAAAGTAAATTCGACTTGAATCAAATCTTGCCTCGGGGGGTGAGGTGGGGTGGAAGCTTAGTATATACATGTAACTGAATACACGGATATTTCGTTGCATGTTGAAGAATTTTAAACGGAGCAAATTCAGATAAGACAGCATTGTATATATACAGTATCAAATATGTAGGGTAGGGCTACAATGACAGATCATAGTTTTACAAGGAAATGTGATTGAAAAAGCAAGATTGAGCTATAAGTTCTGTTGATTCTTTTTTTCATAATGAACAGCAAGGTCATGTTATATTGAAATTAAAGCATCCCAGTGCTGTCTAAATTAAGGCTGGTTAAATCATAACCCCTTGAGGATAGTCAGGGGCAATAATATGGAGTGGAAAAATCATCGAAATAAAAAGGGGGAAAATATGGTGCATGGGTCTCTTGACTGATGCCTTGTGTGCTACAAAACTCGAACAGAACTAGATATAAAGATAAATTCTTTGTGGAAAACAACATACATACTTCTTTATGTCAAGTTTAAAAAAAAAAAATTAATTCTTAAAAGTTATAGTCATATTTATTTATTATTGATGTAATACATTGAAGGCTTTAATTGATATTCAGTTGGTGTTTCTTCTTCCTAGAACTCTTTCTGTATTAGTTTATTTCGCTCTAGCACCAATTCATGATAACTCGTTTCACCGTTGATCATTTCACTCTCCTACCTAGGCAATTTCACTCCGTTTCATCACTATTATCCAACTCTGATTAGGTTAAATATATTTAAAAACTTAACATAAGGAAGTCTGAATTGAGTCAGTATCTGATTTGTAAAGATTGTTAAAATAGTGCTTGTTTTTTGAGGTACTAAGATTTACATGACAATAAAAATATATAAAGCAAACTAGGAATAGAAAGGAAAAAATAGCAGTTTAAAATTATTGACTATCGTCTTAACGTGATTGGTGAAAAGGGTTCATTAGGTTGCATAGTGAAATGACGTACGTAATAAATGGGGATCATGTATTATAGTGGTATTGATCTAGGTGGAGCAGATGACCTCAAATTCAGCCAAATTTCATGTGTTCTTCTAATTGTTTTTTTCCAGGCACGGGGAAGACTTATACGGGAATAAAATTAGTTTATCTGTTTGACATGATAAATGATTTGCTAAGAGCAGATGGACATAAGCATCAGCAGGTTGTCTTCTGTGGACCCAATAATAAATCAGTGGATCTTGTTGCAAGTAAGATTTTAAGTTTTCTCTCTCTCTTTTTCTTTAAAAATATCAATTTGCAAGAAAAACAAGGATCCAGCAAATTAAAGCTGGTCACAAACGCCGCCAGTTAGGTATCGAATCCATCTTATTCTAGGCCAAATCAATTTGTACTATATACATTAACATGCTCAAATCTAAAAGTAGGAAATACATGTATCTGTTTGTGAATTCAGGATGGATATTGAATAAATTTGACGATTTAGCACCTGATATGGTACGCTTATATGGCAACTCCCTCGAAAACAAAGATTATCCCATGCCAGGAAAGCACTATGCTACATCTGCCTCAGCAAAAGAAAATCGACCAGATCCACAATTAAAAGATATATCTGTACATCGTCTGATACGTCAAGAAGGAAGTCTTCATGCCACTGAGATAAAGGACTTCGATGACAAATTTAAACTCTTCAGAACCGACAAAAGCTACAGACCTACAATAAGAGATATTAGGCGATACAAGCATATCACCAGTGAAGCTGCACAAGAAGAACTAAAGAAGCATGACGTCATATTCTGTACCACTGCCGTCACAACCAGTCCACGGTTCATTAAGGGTACGCGTGGGAAAGTTTTCCAGTTGATTATTGATGAAGCAGGAATGTGTACAGAGCCGGAAAGTATTGCAGCCATCATAGCTACAAAAGCAAAACAAGTTGTTTTAATTGGAGATCACAAACAACTTAGTCCAGTAATTTGTTCCACTCATGCTGCTGAGCTTGGCTTAGAAGTTTCACTGTTTGAACGTTATGCAATCTTTGCAAAAATGCTGAGATTCCAGTACAGAATGGTTAATATTTTAACATCTTTTTTTTTATTTGAAAAGGTTCATGTTTATTTTTGCTGGCTTTGAAATAGATATTGTTACAACAATTTTTTTGGTTAAATTCCAGCATCCAGCAATATGCGAGTTTCCCTCAACTCATTTTTACGATAAAAAATTGATAACCAAGAAGTCCTCTGCTTGGAAAACTAAGACTCCGTTAAATATTTGGATAGACAAGGAAAAACCAATCATATTCTGTCATGTGGAGGGAGAGGAGGAGTATCTGACTGTTTCTACAGAAGAAGGAAATGAACAGTCTTGTAGCAACAAACAAGAAGTAGATCACGTGGTATGCAAGGAAAACATCCGAATTTTCATTTCTTGTTATTGATAATAATTTCTGTAGTGTTATGTTGAAAATTTTGAATTATCCGGGTGACAGTGAATACAAAATTTACATTTTATCAGCTGGTTCAATTCTAATTTTACAGTATATTTGACACTTTTTCAAATGTATAGATAACAACAACGCAGCCTTGTCGTGAATTGCTACAATACAGAGATCTTAATTCTAAATTTGAAAAAATGGATTTTTTTTTTATAAAGATTATACTTCATGTATTTTTAAGAACAGAATTTGTATGTGCTATAATTTAAGATAACGGTTCTAATCCTCATGTATGGCCACTGTAAGGTCAAAAGTTACTCATGAATATATATCAAGGCTATCGTAAAATCCATCCTTATATGACACAATTTTGCTGTATTTTTTTTTTTTGTAATGTAGATCAAGTTTTTTGGAAACCGTGTAACCAAAAAATGTCTTCCCACAATATTTGTTTTACAAAAGCATGATGATTTATATGATCGTCATACTTAATGAGATGAGATTTAATAAATTTAATTCATTGTAGGTTAAAGTTTTTGAATACCTAGTGAAGTATGAGAAGATTAATCCGAGCAATAAACAGGCCATCAACATCATGTCGCAGTACAATGCACAATGTACAAGAATTCGGAAGGCTCTTTTGGAAAAGAAGTACATTAATATCAACGTCAACACTGTTGTTGCCAGTCAGGGTATGTTTAAGCCCTTTTTAAAAAATAATATTGAAAAGGACATGTGTATTTAAATACGAATGTCCCCAACGAATGCAAGACCAGAGCAAGACAAGTGAACTTTGTTGATGACATGTGTCAGGATCACACCTATCTCTGCGCCAAGTAAGAACTTGCGATGTTTCCAATTAGAAAATGACCAGACAAGAATTTTACAATTTGAATTCTTATGACCATGTCTTCCAAATGACCTTCAGTTAGGATAATAGCACATATTCAGGTCATAAATTACTTCTGAGATTCTCAGTCGTTAACTAACGAAATTATGATCACAGTTAAAGCTTTAAACAAATGGTCCAACAGTTTATTTACCCTCGGTATCCATACTGGAAGACATAAGGGCTGTGCTTTCCATATTATTTTGAACTGAATTAAATATAATAGGGATGAGCCTCCTGATTTAAATGAATGACAACATAGGCTATTTCAAACAATGTTCAGAATTACTAGTTGTTTGATTGCATTTTGTCCTTTCGAGAATTCTTCACGTGTTGGGAAGCCATTAGTTGAAAATTAGAATTTAGACCTCTACTCGGCACACATAGCATTTGAGTAGTAATAGATCTTTGGTTAAGATTGATGACAGATATTTTATATTTTGTATTTTCCTTATTTTGAAGGCGGAGAATGGGACTACGTCATTTTCAGCACAGCTCGGTCTCTACCAGATTACCGAATCGAGAAACAACCAACCCTGGGATGGTGTAAACAGAACTTGGGGTTTATAACGGATAAACACCAGATCAATGTTGCTTTGACCAGAGCAAGACGTGGACTCATCATCATTGGTAATGACATCATGTAAAAATTGTCTAATTCAACAAAACTATGATTTTGGCAAACAATGCTAGGGTCTAATACAAAGCTATTTCTATTAGAAGATCAATTTGAAACTAGAATATACTTTTAAAAAATATTTTTATCTGGATTAAAATATCAGAAAGAAATAAAAGAAAGTTTAAATGAAACTTAAGTTCAGATACCTATATTTGTTCTGGATTTCATAATGCAATCTTTCTAGACTCCTAAATATTATCCAGCAATTTGACATTATTCTAGCAAAGTGAGAATTATCTTTGTCATATTTACCAGACATGTAGTTGTTTGACTAATATAGGAATTGCACAAGTAGAAGATGTCCCTGTTTGTTAATACAAAGATTAAATGTAACATGCACATAAACGCAGGCATTAAAAAAAACTACCTTGGTCATACTTTTGAAATACCTTTCTTTTTGTCTTATTGGCAAATTAAATTTGATTTACAGTGTTGTAGTTTGAGTGTCGTCACTAATGCTAAAAATCTTTGGTATTAAGTACCAAGACTGTTGTAATTGCCTTAAAAGTAATTATAAGTTTTACAAATAGGGAACAAACATCTTTTATCATGTGATTTTGTATGGAGGAGCTTGATCAAACATTACGCCCGTTTTGGCTGTGTCACGGATGTAGAGCACTTCCCGCCACCTCCCCCGGTGATGAAAAGACGGCGACGGAAGTCACACCGTGAAAGTCTGGAGTCGGAGGAAGATTTCTACCGCGGAACAGATCGCCAGCTTAGTATGGTAGATGAAGAAAATGAATGAAATTGATACCAGTGCAATATGATAAGGAAAATGAAAGATATGATATATATTGAATTTGTTTTGTTTTCATTTGTGAGCTTTCAGTTTAACTGTGATACTTAAGTTATATTGATGTTAGACATTCTGAAATGATAGCTGTTGCTCTCTTTGTGATATTTAGTTATTCGAGTGTTATATAAGTATGTCAAACATGTACAGAAGAAAGGGAATGGTAACACACCAGTGCTCCTAGTGCTACATTGTTAATAAATTTTATTAAATTTACTACGTGACAGTTAGTTAATTTCATAAAATTTACTATGTGACACTAGTAATTAATTAACTAGTATTTTTTTTATAACTTAAAGAGCCTCTCTTGTTGTACATTTATTAAAATGTAAGCTTTGCAGTTTCATACGTTTGGTGTCATTTATGAGAGCACATTTGTGCACGTATATGCTTTCCTTATGGCCAACTTCATGAAATACATGTAATCTTATGTCCTTTTTCATGAAATAACGTTAATGAAAATAGTTATTCTCATATATAAGCATGCACAAAATAGCCAAAAGAATGAAAATAAAAGTTTTTAGTTAGTGAATGATGAAAGAAACTTTAACCACCTACATTGTATATTTAGGCTTTTCTATATTCTATTTTTGGACAGTCATATGCTTACCTCCTGTAATTCCCTTTTTTCTGTATATTAACGCTTGTATAGTTAACTCTCTTCTTTTTTCATTGTTTTGTAAAACATAACTAACATGTTTTGTATATTTTAAATTTTGTAATTTTTTTTCATTGTTTAAATAAAACTGATGAACAACTGAAATATTTTTTTTTAAACTGAAGTATGTTTAGTGCAGCAGTTTAAACGACATAAAGTACCTAGCAATGTTTAGGGGTTTGGTGTTTTGAAAGGTGTTTTCAACACAATATAGAGTTAATATATGGTTATCTTCTCTTGAAAATTTTATACTTTAAGAGTCGGTTAATGATGATCACTAAGGCTTCTGATGATTAGTCTAGTAATCATGAACCAGTAAGAAAAATTATCTATCTTTGTAACAAAGCATATTTCAAAATTTTTATATGTTTACTTCTCAAAACAAAATATGCTGAATGCAGACTTGACATAAAAAAAACCCCACAGAATGCATTCACTACTTGTTAGATAAAGGTAATTAATATAATTAATTATGAAAGTAACGAACAGTAATCAAGATCAAAGGTTATTGAAGCAATGCAACCCGGACCTCTAAAATAACAGAGGTGCGATCAGGATCGTAACTTAAACTTGTTATGACGAATTTATTTCGTTATAGCGAATTCCTTAATTTGTTATAACATATTAAATTCTTTAAAACGAATTCGACAAATCGTTATATCGAATTCATATATATATTTCTATAGAACCCGATTGTTGAATTTGATAAAACGAATTTCATTCGTTAAAACAAATTTTAGAATTTGTTTAAACGAATTTAATTTGTTGGAACAAAATTTATAATTCGTTTAAACGAATTTAATTCGTTATAACAAATTTTTGAATTCGTTATAACGAATTCATTAAATTTGTTACAACAGAGAAGTCAAAATTTTGATTTTTAATATCTTGAGTTTTATTTAATGTACCTGTATCTGCTTAAAAATTTGTAATTTTATGTAACATTTAAATTCAAATATATGATGATTTTGCCTTAGTATCAAAATTATTTCAAAAGTTATATTGGTTTGACATTTTCACTTAAGTCTGTTTTCAGTTTATGGTCTTGGGGCCTGTTATTTACGAATTATTATGCTACAAATAAGGTCTACAGTAACTGTTCTTTCATTGAAAAAAATCGGCGCCTTTTTCTTTCGTCAGCCGTAATCATGCCATGCGTAATTGTGTTCACTGTTTTTGATTAGGCTGTCGCTCTCAGTTTACTGCATAAAACCACCATCTCTAAAGCGTTTATAAAACTCCCTTGGCGGTACCAGGGAAATCGCCAGTGCACAAACTATATAAAACCGGAAGTAAAAGTATTTTTTTTCTCGATATTCGTCACAAGTCACGGGGTGTGGAGGACCCTTAATTAAACAATTTTCATTTTTTTCTTTCTTTTTTGTGCCGTGTTCATTATACACTATGTCCACTTTCACTTTAAAATGCAGCATGGAAAATCAGAGGAAAACTAAACAAATAAACTATTGAATATTTCTTTATTTCTGTAATTACCGTAACCGAGTTATCACCCATTATTCGCAAACTCAAATACAGAAAAGCTCCTGGCGCTGATCGAGTTACTTATGAGCACGTTTTCTTCGGTGCGAACGTGTTCTTGAATGTACCGTAAAACTGTTTAATGCTATTGTGTTGTTTGTTACAATACCATCTTCATGGACACGGGGTTTCATAGTGCCTCTATATAAGAGAGGAGGAAAATCCAAAACCTCTTGCAATAGCTAAAGACCAGTCGCTTTATTGTCATGCTTCTTTTGATTTTTGAGAGTATCATTCATATCCGCATTTCTGAACATGTTTTAGGTAATAAAGTATTCCCTAATCTCAAACAAAAAGGTTTTCAACAGAAGCTAGGTTGTCTGACAGCGTCTTTTAACTTACATGAAACAATTTTCCGTAATTTAAAACAGGGTAGCAATGTTTATATATTATGGGTAATGATCTAATGACATATCGTGCGGCGATTGGAAATTATTACTCTGTGTCACAAGATAATCATTCGGAGAAAAAGATTTTCATTACTAACAAAAGAAGTATTGTTTTTCCTTTTCAAGGTATTGTCCTTCCTGATATACTTTATTTTGACAAATAAAATATACAATATGACTATCTTATATTTTATTGTCAAAATTAAAGTATATCAGGAAGGACAATATATTTAATGTTTAAAATTAAACATGGTCTGGCGCCAGAGTATTTATTAAATTTATTATCTCCTGATGTCTCACAAACTATTCATTCTGATTTACGTAGTTATAATAATAGTGCTATTCCCCAATGAAGAACATACTTGCTAAAATAATTCATTCTTTCCATCAACAATTTCATAATGGAATACTTTGCCTACTGAGATTAGAAACCTTGGTAGTGTAAACACTTTCAAAAAAGGCTCTTTAAAGGTGAGTCTCCCCCAAATTATTTTTCTCATGGTAATAAAAACAAGAGGCCCATGGGCCACATCGCTCACCTGAGTAACTTTGGCCATGCTGTTCTTTACCAGATTTCCACCCTTTTAATATACCTATTGTGGCCCCGCCCTACCCCCGGGGGTCATGATTTGAACAATTTAGAATCTACACTACCTCAGGATGCTTCCAAATAAGTTTCAGCTTTATTGGTCCAGTGGTTCTTGAAAAGAAGATTTTAAAAGATTTTTCTTATATATTTCAATGTAAAACTTGGATTCCCTACTGTGGCCCCGCCCTACCCCGGGGGTCATGATTTGAATAATTTATAATCTATACTACTCCAGGATGCTTCCATATAAGTTTCAGCTTTTCTGGCCCAGTGGTTCTTGAGAAGAAGATTTGTAAAGATTTTTCTTATGTATTTCAATGTAAAACTTGGATTCCCTATTATGGCCCCGCCCTACCCCGGGGGTCATGATTTGAACAATTTATAATCTACACTACCCAAGGATGCTTCCATAGAAGTTTCAGTTTTTCTGGCCCAGTGGTTCTTGAGAAGAAGATTTGTAAAAATTTTTCTTATGTATTTCAATGTAAAACTTGGATTCCCTATTGTGGCCCCGCCCTACCCCCGGGGTCATGATTTGAACAATTTAGATTCTACACTACCCCAGGATGCTTCCATAGAAGTTTCAGTATTTCTTGCCCAGTGGTTCTTGAGAAGAAGATTTGTAAAGATTTTTTTCTATATATTTCAATGTAAAACTTGGATTCCCTATTGTGGCCCCGCCCTACCCCCGGGGGTCATGATTTGAACAATTTAGATTCTACACTACCCCAGGATGCTGCCATATAAGTTTCAGTATTTCTGGCCCAGTGGTTCTTGAGAAGAAGATTTTTTAAGATTTTTCCTATATATTTCAATGTAAAACTTGGATTCCCTATTGTGGCCCCGCCCTACCCCCGGGGGTCATGATTTGAACAATTTATAATCTACACAACCCCAGGATGCTTTCATATAATATTCAGCTTTTCTGGCCCAGTGGTTCTTGAGAAGAAGATTTTTTAATGACCCCACCCTATTTTTGTCTTCTCTTGATTATCTCCCCTTGTGAGGGGACTTGGCCCTTCATTTTAACAATTTAAATTCCCCTTCACCCAAGGATGCTTTGTACCAAGTTTGGTCAAAATTGGCCCAGTGGTTCTTGAGAAGAAGATTTTTTAATGACCCCACCCTATTTTTGTCTTCTCTTGATTATCTCCCCTTGTGAGGGGACTTGGCCCTTCATTTTAACAATTTAAATTCCCCTTTACCCAAGGATGCTTTGTACCAAGTTTGGTCAAAATTGGCCCAGTGGTTCTTGAGAAGAAGTCAAAAATGTGAAAAGTTTACAGACGGACGGACAGACAGACGGACGGACGGACGACGGACAAAATGTGATCAGAAAAGCTCACTTGAGCCTTCGGCTCAGGTGAGCTAAAAAACGAACTCAGTTTTAACTAGAATGAGACACAATGTAAGCCTCCTTAGTCAGACTGATTTAGGGTTTCGCTTTCAGATAATACTTTAGTGTTATTGTAAATTTTTCAATGAAAACACTGAACACTTCCTCCTGTACTGTAAGAATTATGCAGAAATAAGAACAGAATTATTTCACACCATAAAAAAATAACAAAGGAGCAATAAACCTTGACATTGTTCTATTTGGGGACCCAAACTTGGGTCAACAAAATAATATCAATATTGTTAAAGCCGTACATAAGTATATTAAAACTTCCTTCTTTCTTCTCTCCTTGCACTCCTATTCCCTTCCTTTGATTTCTTAATTTTTTGCACCTTTTTCCCCTTCTTTTTTGTATTGTACATTTGTTGGTTGTACATCACATGTATATGTTTTTGTCATTTTCT